AGTACAGTATATAACTGTATCATATCTAAAAATGATGGAGCATGGTGAGAGACATCTGTCCTTGTGTAAAAAAAATTAACTTATTAATATCATGTTTCTGCTCTACTAACTTTAATTCTAGTTTGGTATAATCACGTTGTCCTCTTTTGCGTTTTCCTTTGAGTGCTAGAATTGTTTGTTATTGTTATTATGATGCCATATAATTTATTGATACAATCTGAAATTAAACCGATTACCATTAATTCTGTGTTCAGACTCAATTTCCATAGGAGTAAATTTTTTTCATTTCATTTATCTGACTTTGGAGTACCATCAAAATATTATATTTCTAATGCAGACTTTTGATGAAAGAAATCAGAGATGACATTCTCGAAGGGACAAATTTCCAGCACAGCATATCAAAGCTAGAAAATATGTCTTACTGGTATGCAGGAAGGTGTATTGCTTGGAGTATTTTGCAAAGCGGCCCTGGCTTTCCATTTCTGAGTCACACAGTTTTTGGTATTGTCACTGGGAATACAAACTTTCAACCAAATCTTGAGGATATCACAGACTTAGATGCAAAATCAAGCATCCTGAAGGTATTTAAAATAAGGAATCTATATCAATACATGACAATATAATTGTCCTACACATATATTAATTAAGAAACTTTTCATACATCCAAAATTACATTATATTTACGAAGAAAAGCACTTCATGATGGATACAAGCATAATAATTGCACAGATATGGTTGGTAACGGGGTATAAAGAGTTATTGTGTAATAGAGCACTACCTGTTTTATGGATAGATAGAGAAACATCTGATGAAATCCCTATGAATTGATTATTGTGCCGCCTGCAAATATTGCTTGACGCAAACTAAACACGTTTTCGGGCATCATCAGGCGTCTGACATCCAAAACTGAATATTTAACTTAAACAATTGTCATATATCTAATGTCATTCAATATTTTAAAAAATTTAACTTTAAAACAAAATATAAAAGTCATCCAACCATTCATCCTAGGGTGGATTATACAAGTATGAAAATGGATCTAATGCGTCTTGTAAGGAATGAATATATATATATATATATATATATATATATATATATATATATATATATATATATATATATATATATATATATATATATATATATATATATATATATATATATATGGAAACAAACATAGAGATTAACATGTTAGCCATATCTGGTCGATGGGTCCCTTGTTTTCGTTCATGAAAGTAAAATATTTATGAATTTAATAGTTTCGAATCTTTTTGCCTGATAGCCTGAAGTTTCATTCTGTGACGTCTTCAACCCGACTGCTCAAAGTCAAAAGTTGCACCCACTTTAACTTCTTTCACACATTGCTTTTTAAAGATTTTCTTCTTTATACCACTTTTGCCTGTAAACTATTTATTCCTAACAGATACAAGATGCCACAAGCCTGGAAGATATGGAGGAGATATCAGACTGGATATTAGAACAGGGTTTGCCCTTATTAACATCATTTGATGAGGAAAGCAAAGTGAGACTGGTTAACCTCATCATTAAAAATAGCGTGTACTACAGGTAACATTATTTTAAGTACTGAAATATTCGAATTCCTTGTGCTATGGAAATATATGCCGAAATATAGTTGCGTGTAAATACATTTTAGTCATAAGATATAAGATTGTCACATCATTCTGATCCATTTTTGGTACAGGTAGGATTGTAATTGGTAATTGGTATTAAGGAGTTCATTAAAAACAGCTGATATTATTTTGAAAATGTTTTAGCATTTTGCACATACTTTCATTTAAGTTACTTCATTGTTTGTTTTTATTGAATTGCCCACCCACCCACACATAAGTTTATATTTATATAACGTATTGTCTTCATTTTAGGCTACATGCTGAAATAGCACAGTTTCAGACCGGTTTGAACTTAGGAAACTTTTTGGATATTGTAACCTGCCACAAAGATGAAATGAGCAGCCTGTTCACGCACATGAGAAAAATACTTACCGTTGATGATATAAAATCCATTTTACAAATAAACTTCAGCCCAGATGGATCAAATGACAAACAACTAGAGGATGATACTATTTATTCTTTTGAGGTGTTTCTACAAGACTGTATGGGTAATGTTTGACTTTCCTGCCATATAGTTTCCATAAAGCATTTTGGCCAAAAATGTTGCAGATTTGAAGTAGAAAGTTATAAAATCTAATATGTTCTATAAATGCAAGTAATTTGAGAACTATTTTCGCATCAATTGAATTAAGTGCCATATGTTAAAATATTTTCGTTACAGTTCATTACACCTAACATTCATGAAAACCATTACATATCATTTGGTTACCTAAAATTGAAATTCTTTCCTTTCAGAAGATTCAGCTGAAGTTACTCTGTGTGATTTACTTGCATTCTGGACGGGTGCTAGTGAGATCCCGCCTCTAGGATTCCATAAAAAAAAACTTGAGATCGACTTCGTGACAGATGCAGAGCAATTGCCCGTAGCACACACCTGTGGCATGTCCCTGGAGCTACCAAGAGGTGTTGAAAATCCGGATGAACTGAAAAGAAGACTGGTCATGGCAGTTGAATGGGGTGGAGAATTTCACTTGGCTTAACTTCGCTTTGAATGATGTAACTTTACAGTTATATGTTAACTTGCTAAAATCTTTCGTATCGCGTGTAAATCTGTATTATAACTGTAATGACTACGAACAACTGTTATATTCTTTAATTGGTAAATTTTAGATTTTATGGTCTTATCAAGGGCATTATCGATTCTGTAACACATTTGCCCTTTTAATAATATCGCCATTACATTTGCGTGTTTCTGTAAAAGTTGCCCCCACTGTCAGGTTTTGGTTGTGGGCGATTGTGGGTCGTATGCTTCCAAAATTAATTTACATTATTGTAGAAGTCCCAACCAGGATTGATTTTGGTTGGAAGTTAATTTGGTGAAAGCTAGATGTACATCTCTGAGACCCCCGTCAGCAATGCCGACCGGGGTCTCAGAGATGCTTGATTAAGATACAAAAAGCGTGTTGTTCAATGATACCAATTTAATAACAATTAAATGGTCCATAATTCAAATTTCACAAAACATTTCTTCCGCTCGACCCTTTAATAGCCTATCGCATCATTTGATTCGTAGTGTGATAGATTTTCACCTGTCCTTGTGTTCAACTCGTCTGTGTCTTCTTCTCTAGCTCCTAATTCCATGATTCTCTCCAAGTTCCTTCTCCTCCTCCTCCTCCATTTCCTCCTCCAGACTACTTTATTCCACCTCCACCTTCTCTCCCTCTTCTCTATGTCGAATGTACTTTGATGACTCCCACTACTATGCCAGTCTCACGAAACTTTCCTTACCTTACAATCCGGTTCTAAGTTTTCCCGCAAAATTACGAGTGGCTTCCCGGAGTATCATTTGGCTTATAAAACCACTAGATCTACTGATAATTTTTCTGGGTGTGAATACTGCAAGCCTTTGACTAGCGGTCACTGACTATAATTTTGGCTGTCCATGTACTGCAACTTGTATAACTTGCACTTCAAACGCGGTATTAATACCCAAGTATATACATTTCATGATAGTCTGACTGAGCAATCGTGAGAGTTTCCTTCATTTCTTTCTTTTGCACGCGAATATATATGCTACTGTCATTTTCATTATCTGCTGTCCGACAAAGTCATTTGCTGCAAACAAGTTTGCAAAGTACTGTAATTAATATTTGGGTAAGTATAGAAACAAGGAACAAATTTGTGAAAATGAATGGAAAAATATATAGTTTCCTATGAACGTCTTGATCTATTTATGTACTTGCTGCCCACTTGCTCGATTTATTACATATCTTTTGACAAGGTATACATGTTAGTGGGTTTTTTATATATATTATTTACCCCCTATTTTTCAAATTTAAGTATACTAGATATTTTATGATTGGCTTCTCTTTTGCATAAATATAAATATTTTCCTTCCAACATTTATTCTTTACTTATGATAAGTTGTTTCTTAAAGTTATTTTGTGTTCAGAAGGAATATATATTTTTACTGTTCATGATGTAAATTGACACACAAAGGTTTATATTCTTCTTTAATTTTTTTTGGCAAGTTGAAGAAAACAAGATCAATATACATTCTTGCCTTGCAACGTTTATGCTTAGGTTATGTAGTTAATACTGACTTTTTTCTTTATTTTATATTTAAATTAGAGGAATTGTCCTTTGCAAAGTGTAATTAGACACATTGAAGTATTTTATCAGCTGAATTTGTGCATCAGTAGGTATTGCTATCTTTCAAATGTAATGTTTCAGGTTTATCGTTGGTGTCTTGTTTCGTTTGATTTATTTTGTGTTCCAAATTTAAGAAATGCTACATTTTTAAGAGTTTTTTTTACACCAAAAAGTCTGTTATTATCTTCCATTTTAGGTATTTAATTTGAAGTAAAACATAAGTTGTACAATTGTCTGTCTTTTTGCATCAGTATACATCGTTTCTTTGCAACCTGTTTGCTTCATTGATATAGTTGATGCTAACTTGTGTATTGCATTTCTGTTTCGCTCATGAGAGGTTAATGTTGTTCTTTAGTGTATAAATAGAGACATAAGTATATTTTTATTTGCTGATACTATGCATTTTGAAGCAACCAAGTTTGTCAATTGTCTGTTTATTTGTATCTATATTATAAACCATTGAACATCGGTTCCGGTTTTGTTTATATTGTTTTTATTGCCTACAACTTGTGCTTTAATTACTGATGCACAACGAAAACTTTGCATCTAGAGAAAATGTGTGATTTGCATTTTTTATGTAGCTTCAACAAATTTAGTTATATCGGTACGATGTCTTCAGTGTGGCAGTTTATAGTTATGTCAAGCACTGGGGCATCTAGTATCAGGTCCCATCCAATCACATTATTATGACACACCGCCAATCTGTGTTAACAGTAACCTCTTAACGCTGAGCGCCAACCGAGGCAGTTGCGCGAACCATTTTTATAGGTCTTTGGTATGACTCGACCGAGGTTTGAACCAGCGACTTCCTGCATCCGAGGCAGATGCTATAACTACTTAGGCCACGAGATCGGTCATCGGGAGGGCGGTGCTAGCGCAATTCGTAATTTCTTATAACCTTTTCAATTCATTTTATTCTGCTTTGTATTCATATCTATATTAGGCACATGATAAGATTCGGTTGAACCCTTTCCGTGCTTTATATTAGGTGTTTGTTAATTAGTTTATCGAAGTCTCTAACTCACTGTAAAATAAAATCATAAATATTTGGCCGAAAAAAATAATCCTTCCAGCACAAAAACAGCAATATTAATATTTAATATGTATGTCAACTAAATGCTATTTCGTTATAAAATGAAGTAGGTACAAGATATATTTCAAATGTTCCTTTTTGATACATTTAGCAGCAAAGGCTGAAATATTGTCTCCAGGCACAAGTAAACAAATAATAAGTAGTTATTGTTTCTTTGCACTTTTTGTGAAATTCTTATTGACATTTGAAAGTTTGAATGTTCGAGTTTACAACTATTTCCTTTCAAAAGGACAATATTCCAATAGATGAAATGAATTTACAGCTGAGGTATGAGCCATGCTAATAGCTTCACAGCATCCTGACAAGTTGCAGGTTGTTGTCTCCCACCTTCGTGAAGTAAAGAAATAAATCGGTGATGCATTGCTTCAGTACAAACTGTTGTTGATTGGTCACCACAAAACGATTTTAATACTTGGATATCAGCAACATTCACCGGGTACTTATACTCAGCTGTGCCTTAAATTGCAAAAGGACAATTTATAATAATCATTGTACAAAGGAATGAAGTATTTACACCGCATATATAATGACTTCAGTTTTACCCATAACTTCAAGTGTTTTATGTCTGCCCAAACCCATGACTCATTTTCATCAACAACATATACTGGTACTACCTTTAGTTTCTAAAGGTTGAAAGTTACAATTGTGATAAGTTATAAGGAAAAACTATAACTCCAACTTGTGATGATGTTTATAATTTATATATAAGCAAGTATGTTAATTGTTTGGTATAACGCAATAGCCAGTGCTCAGTTATACCTGACATATATAAGTAGATCAGATATAAACCATAATCAATTAATATTCTCTGCCTATAGTAGTATTAGGAAACCAGGTTTTCAACTCACTTTGTTTTTTTACCCTCCAAACAAGTATAAATTATCCCCCACCCCACCCCCTTTTCTTCCAAAATAAACCAGGTTTTCAACTCACCCTAGAGGAAAACCAGGTTTTCAACTCACTTTTTTTTTTTTACCCTCCAAACAAGTATAAATTATAGTCCTAAATTATCCCCCACCCCACCCCCTTTTTTTTCCAAAATAAAACAGGGTTTTGACTCACCCTCCCCCACCTCTTTTTTTACCCCCTACTACTACCTGTAAACAGGTATTTTGTAACCAAACAAAACAACAGGTGTTGGAATGCGATAAGCTCTTTACACAGAGGTGACTAATTTGTTAGAACAGCGCATGTGTGGAATACAATTATTCTAAAGACGGCAAACGGGTTTTTACCACAAGATAACAGGATGAAAATTAAACTGTGCATTAGAATGTTTCAGTTAACAAGGTGGAAATTAAACTAGCATTAGAATGAAAATGATATTATTTATATCTCGTTACCAATGATTAATGTTTCAACTGTTGATATTAAAAATATTTCACTATCACGACTATAGATACTAAATTTTACTTTACCACTCACACAGCGACGGGACTCAAACAGATCTTTCATTTCTGGTTTGTTCAGAGGATATTTTTTGTTGATAAAATACACCTTTGACCGATCGAGATCAATTGTGAGTTTAGTATAGTTTTGTTGGCTAATGGGGCTGTGAAAGTTTTTAAATTCCGCTAGCAACTTTTGATACAATTGTTCGAGATAATTGAAATACATGCTGTTATCAGATCTGATGAGCGAAAGTTTTAACTTGTCACATGTTCCATTAAAACATATACCTGATGTTTCATTATTAAATTCAACTGTCAATTGTTTACCGTCCATCATTAGATATTTGATGTTACTATTGTAGCTATTTGTCATTGTCAAATTTTCAAGCATTATTTTATAAGTTTAGATAAAATTTCAGTTGGAAAAGATAATGTCGAGTATAGATCTATCATCATAACAATACCCAAGGGCAAATGTATCTACCCCATTTTCACAATAGCGTTTGTCATCAAAATTATACAATCCACGTTTGATAATGACATCTGTTTCGAGTTTATGATGATTAGTTCGAATTGCCATAGCTCTCATAAAACTAACACCACCATCAAGCGCATACCTGTAGTCATCAAATTTCATAAACTTTTTAACAAAATTACGAGGCAGACCTTTGGCTTTTTTCGTTATTTTATTATTATCTAACAATACGGCATACATTTTACTACGTAATCCGATAAAGTATTTGATAGCGCTCGAGTTCATTTCATCTTTAAACTTACCAATAACCTTTTTATTTGTGTCGTCATGAAATTTACTGTCACGTGGATAATCGGAAAGATCAAACAGATGTCGATTATTGTACATGTCCTGATAGATGTCCTCACATTCAATTTCATACACGAGTGAATCAGTATCAGTAAACAATAATCTACTAGCCGGCCACTGATTTTTAACAAAAGTGTAATGAAAATCGTACATCATCCACTTTGATAAATCTAACACTGCAGCTCCAACATAGATCGGCTTGTTTAGTTTTAGATTTGTTTTTCTTCTTTGTATCGCAACAAGATTTTCATTAAATATTTTCATGCTCACAAAATCATCGTCTGACACAAGTTTGTTTCTGCGATTGACATCATTAACTATTTCAATATTTACACGTTTCCTAATATTCTCCATCGTCTTACCAAAAACGGAATTGTTCATCAGTTTAAAGAAGTTTTTCTCAAACTCTGTTTTCGCTGCAGCTCTTCTTGAAGTGTTGGAGTTAATATAACCTCTCATCCACGGCGACTGATTAAATTTTAGTACACGATGAACTTTTCTCAACACAAGACCAGCATCGACTGCTTGTTTTAAAACTTTGTAATGCAAAACATAATTTTTCTTATCAAGTAAATTTGGTACTAGTTTCTTGACCATGGAATGTTGCCTTGGTGATGCTAACGCTTGTTGTTCTTTTGATAACAAACTATAATCTATAACCATCGATTCCGCACAGAAAGGGTAATCGTTATGTAATTTGTGTAGCGAATTTGGATAATCAAGATCAACTTCAATGAAATAGGAAACATCGTCAGGTATCTTTTTTTCTGTCTCTGATAGAAATCGATCAACCGTGATCCAATGAAATCCGCTAAAAGGCATTGGTTCTGCCATCGAACCACCGTAAAGATTATTACAATCTAGATAAATTATATACTTCGAAGGAAGGTCAGGGTATACTGTTTCAGGTATTTGTTGTTTGCTTCAGCATATTTTTTTGTTATCACGCTAATACCACCTCGGATACCTTTTTCAATAAAATTGAACATATCAACATCAGTCAGTAATTCTAACCTTACCTTACTAAACTTTAGCAAAGCATCCCATGACAACCCAGGGGCAGAATAATACCAGCAAGGATCTAGTCCATAATTATTATAACTCACTTCACGAAAACTTTCAAAAACATCTGCTAGTAATAACACGTCAGTTTTCAGGTATAAATCATGATAATCACCAAAAGTCTCACAATCAAACTCTTTCCAATATCTTGTGCATACCTGTACTCATCATCAGTTATATTTTCGTTTTTAAGTTGTGAGTAAAATTTGTCTTTGTCAGGTAAAGATATTTCATCAAATTTACTCCAATCGTCGAGGTATTCGTATGGAAAAACTCCTTTTTTAGCTAGTAGATTAAATTTATCTCCAAAACAGTCTCTTAGGTTATCAAATTTTACTCACAACCTTTCACTAACTCATCTAACGAGGCTGCCATAAACTGCAGGCTGTCAATAAAACGTAATTTACCTAGCGTAACTGACATGTACTTTTCAAAATTATTTGGGATGCATTTGATGACGTGATCCAGTTGTAGATGAGCTTTTATCTCAGATCACCAAAAGCTTCTACTATAATATGGCTATCATATCCTCGAAAATTGTGAAGAATAACCGGAATAAAATCTGGAGCATGAAATTTTTAATTACACTGATTATGAGCCGCTCCACGATACTGTCCAGTCAAATGACAATGGTCATGTACTTTTTTATCATCGTCAAAAGCTTTTTCACAAATATGACAAATTTCTGCTTGCTCGTGATTGGATTCTTGTTGAGGTGTTAATTTAACATTGGCGTTACTTTTTTCAAATGAGTAAATATATTATCAACTTCATTAATCAACTGCTTGAGAAGCCAAACAGCTGGATTTTTACCACGATATAATTTGATTGATTTAGATAATCTAGAATCAGTACAACAAACTACCTTATACGCTACTCCACACGGAACATGATTTTGAACTTTTCTTGTACTCGATTGATTAGGATTATTTTCTACACCAAGTACAGGTTGAAGTAGGCATTCGAAATCAGCGTATATGACGAAAGGAATTTTTAGTTTGTGATTATGATGGACAAACTGTAACACACTATCTTTTTTAGATGGCATTGTTATTCTTTGCACATCACTACAGTACTGCAAATGCTTTTGTAATGTTTCATTGCTTGTACAGCCATGCAAGCAGCGGTAACAAAAGAACTTTTTGTTCTTATCCTTATTGTACTGTCTACCAACTAGTCCGTTAAAGTTTTTAATCCAAACATAATGATTTTTGTAGTACAGTAAATTTATAGTTGATTGTGAAGCTTTTTCTGAAATATATCTCGGATATACGTCCTCCTTTTCATCTAGTCCGAAAACGTTAATTGAAACATTATTCTGCTTTTCAAATTTTGGTATTTGATTTTCTGCCACTGGAAAGTTAATATCTTTAAAATTTAATCTAGACACATGACTGATATACCTTTCAACACGAGTAGCGTTTTTTTCTGCTGGGAATAGTGCGGAAGAACAGCCCATTGGAAACATTTGTTATCTACGTTTTTGAT